ATTGATACATGTGAACATTCTCAAGATACATGCACTTACTATACCGATAAGCTTTCAGCAATATGGACTGACCTCGAAGCTACACAGTCAAATATTGAACTTCACACGAATTCAGTAGAAAGTGAATTAGAAATTCGATGGCAGTTAGAAGAAATACATAGAGAGATACGAACATTCCTTGAAGCAGAAAAGAAAAAGTACAGTACACAAACTGCTATGTCTGCCTCTACAATATCTCAACATGTATCTAATATTCCTTTCCAGCCATATACACAAGAGGAAAGTTTTCAAAACTTCACTCGGCGCTTTGAAAACTACACAAAATTACGGGGAAACTTAAGTCCAAAGGTCAAAGTGGATTTATTTTTACAATCAATCACCCCACAAGTACACGAACAGCTATACGATCTTTGCATACCAGATGATCCACATAACAAGCCATATGAGGAATTGATTCATCTGTTAATGGCACAACTAGAACCAAAACCCAGTATTTGGGCACGTCAGCACAAATTCACATTACGTACTCAACTCTGTAATGAATCTGTACAAGCTTATGCAAATGCTCTTCGAAAGCTCAGTGTCGAATGCCAGTTTACTTGTACACATTGTAATGAATCCGTATCTGAAATTCTACTTCGAATGCAGTTTGTCAGGGGACTAAGAGACTCTGATATACGTCTTCATCTTCTTCAAGATAAACTATTGCAACCGTTTAAAGAAGTAGTCGAGAAGGTAGACATTAGAACTAGCGAAAAGTGAGAGCAGAATAGTTAAGACAAATGAAAATCGAGAGGAAGTACACCAAGTATCGAGCAAGAACAAACACCTGGATAGTAAGTCAAGTAAATCTAATCATATACAACTCTCTGATTATCAATCTCGTTTTGAGAAACTGAAGAACAAGTGCTATAGATGTGGTGATGATTCACATAGAGCTCATCAATGTAAGTTCAAAAATGCAGAATGCAACTCGTGTAAACGTTTTGGTCACTTAGCAAGAGTGTGCTTAAGGAAACCAAACAAGGAAGTAAAACAATCAGATGAAACCGTAGAAAATACAAGTGATGACACTCATGAAATTTACCAACTCCATTCAAAATCAAATGACAAGTTTATGCTCGAGGTAAAAGTGGAAGGACGACTCATGACAATGGAATTAGATACAGGAGCGGCTCTCAGCATTGTATCATATGATACATTTAAACTTTTAAATTCTCCAAAAAGGATTTTCAAAACAAATGTTCAACTCAGGACATACACTGGAGAAATAATTAATCCAAGAGGAGTTGTTTTTGTAGATGTTCAGTACAAAGATCGAAGTTTTGTTGGAAAACTGTACATTGTAAACAAGTGTGTAGACTCTATATTCGGAAGAGAATGGATAAGAGAGATTCAGCTTGATGCAGCTGACATACATTCATTAGATTCAAGTGAAACAAATGAAAACATTCAAGAACTAGATAAACTGATGATTCAATACGAAGACATTTTCAAAGAAGGCATTGGGGAAATACCAAACGAAAAGGGCCATTTTAATGTAAAAGACGAAACCCAGCCAATCTATATATTAATACGCAAGCAGGTTTCTTTTCACAGTCATAACTTAATAACGGTTTGACGGATTTTAACGTTTGAGGTGTCAAAATAAAGGTATTTTCACGTAGATGTGCAAATACGTGTCATAATATTATGAAAGGGCACCACTTAAGTCCACTTAAGGGCTAAAGTTCGGAAGGAGGCGCTATCTGTTGACATTAGATCAAACTCATTCCCCTTTGTTTACAAATAACATATGGACGTAGTTTGAAATACTTTTTAAGGTTAGACACAGACTGCAGGACTTAAAACTTCCAGAGCAAAGCCAGAATAGATATTTTCATTTAAACGTCTGTTAAATAAGTCTGGTTCAAAAAATAGTTTCCTAGCAAAACTTAATAACACATTGTGCGTAATATTTGAATTAGTTTAACTTGCTTCTTATTTTACTGAATTACCATGTAGTTTTGGTTAAAGTTCGGTGTGATGAACAAGTGAATGTTTGAAAGTGATTATTCTTAGTGCAGTTACCTACCCGTTGCATTACCGTATCACGTAATTTACAATGTATATCAAAATTCCGTTGTAGTGTTTTCTGTTGTTTGGTTAACTTACGTATTTTTATCTCAATTTAAAATTAAGCCACCAGTAAGATGAAGAACTGTTAGTGGCTGGAGGGAACGCGGACGTTACCGCTTGCATCAACCTAACCTACCAATGGAACATTTGAAGGATACAAAGTGGCAGTACCATCGTGGTGATACATCATGGATACATCTCCTCAGAAAAATGAACGTTAAATGTTTACATTGTGGTGGCTTACATTTTAAGCAAAGGAAAGACCGAAGCAGTTCAATTTTCACTCATTGTTACCATAAATGAAAGACCCGTTTACCTCATCTGCGGAATTCACTATCCTTTCAGGAAGTTATTGGAAACTCCCAATCTGAAAACAGGGCTGCGAGGCTTAGATCTAAAATTCGTCAATTCAATTTCACCTTTGCCATTGTCAGCTCTGAAGTTCATTTAGATGAGAGGATCACACAGGGGATCTACAATTGAAAGATCCATGACACGTGTTATCTCCGAGTAAATAATCTAATACCTTTAGAAGGTCATCGTGAACCCGCACAGATGTATAGTTGAGTACGACGTTGGCACTGGAACCCAACAGCGCTTGAAACACAATTCAAACAAAAATGCCAGGAAAAAATATGCGGGAATAGGGTCACACTGCCAACCTATTTGCCTAATCTTTTAAAATTATGGCAGAATTTTAGAGGATTTTTAGAAGGGACGAGAGGTGTGATTAGTACAGTGAGATTCATATGCTTACTTATGCTACTTAAATAAATGTCGCAGCTATTTTTAAAGCTGAAACAGAGCACAGCCTGGCCAAATCAATCTTAGGTCTTTTCCAAAAACTAATAATGTTAAACGCGAATCCGTTCTAGATCCGTCGTTAGATCCACTTGCTTACCCTCTTATGTTCCCAACCGGAGACTTTCGTTGGCGCCCCTAATTTAAACACGCCTAAAAACAGATATAGGTAGTACAAATAATTTAACAATGCTATAGTACGTGTCGTAATGGTTGGTGAAAGAGAGAGATTTAATATAATTATTATGTTGAATTCAACAGCTCAGGAGCTAGAATTGAAATGAATTTTATGAGCGATTTAGCTTGTTACAAAAAGTCTAAAAACTCACTACAGTGTGTGGTCGACATCTACGTTCTCATAGAGGGCACCCACCTACATAAGGATACTGTACGTAAGGATAGCCAAAGCATTACGAGAGCGGATCTATATTTAAATATCGTATACTACTTTTATAATCTTTTTACAACATTATATTTTTTATATTTATATAATCATTCAGAAATTACTTTAGAGTGACTCTTTGATTAAGTCTTGCTGTTTATTTTTTTACTGGTTATTCTTTCATTACAGCCTGCAGTTTTGCTCGGTTTCGAGCAACAGGTTATCTAGTTTACATCAAACCAAGACACATGCCATATGCATTACAAGAAAAAGTAGAGAAAGAACTTGAACGACTGGAAAGTTTGGGTATAATCACACAAGTCGAATCATCTGATTGGGGCACACCAATTGTTCCGGTCGTCAAACCAAATGGTTCAGTCAGAATATGCGCTGATTAAAGGTGACATTGAACAAAGTCATCTAAGACGAACACTACCCTATACCTCGGATCGACGATATCATGTCAAAGATGCATTGTGGAAAGATATTTTGTACTCTTGATATCAGTAATGCATACTTGCACCTGGAGATGGACGAAAACAGTGCCATAATGCAAACAATCAGTACTCATAAAGGGCTGTTTAAGGTGAACCGATTAATGTTTGGAGTAAAAGTGGCACCCTTGTTATGGCAGAGATTCATGGACAAAACATTACATGGCTTAGAAGGTGTACAATGTTTCTTCGATGATGTCATTATCCAAGGATCTAACCGGGAACAGCTTCTTCGCCGACTGAAACAGGTGTTCGAACGACTGAAGACAAACGATTTGAGGCTAAATAGAGACAAATGCAAGTTTTTCCAGACGAAAATTGAGTATTTAGGTCATGTGATCGATAGCAAAGGGCTACATAAGTCAGATACCAAGATACAGAGCATTCTGAAATGCAAAAGGCCAGAAAACGTTTCTGAACTCCGAACTTTCCTGGGCCTAGCAAGTTATTACAACAAATTCATAAAGAATTTGGCAACACTACTACATCCGATGAACCTACTGCTACGAAAAGGAAATCCTTTCAATTGGAATTCATCTTGTGAAAAGAGTTTTCAGAAGATTAAGGAAATTATCACAAGTGACGACGTTTTGGTTCACTTTGATCCTAGCTTACCTCTGGTCTTAGCTACTGATGCTTCACCGGTAGGTGTGGGAGCCGTTCTGTCTCACCGCTATAGCAATGGAACGGACAGACCAATTGCCTTCGCCTCTCGATCTTTAACAAAATCAGAGCAAAAATACTCTCAAATCGACAAGGAAGCTTTGGGAATATATTGGGGCCTGAAATAGTATATTACGTTACTAGTCCTGAAAATAAGTGTTTACCGGACGAGTGTGGTCGTTCCCGTGCGAGACGAAGTGGAGTACGGGATTACCATACGAGTCCGGTAAACACATTTTGGACGAGTTACGTACGATAGTTTACGCCATACTGTACTTAAATCTCTACAAATCCTTATATATTACCACCAACTAAAGGACTAAAAATCACTAGTCATAACCTCTAAGCGAGGTTATGTTTTTGTCTACAACCACTCATTGCCACCCAAATACAGTATAATCAGCTGATTGGTGTCCGGTAAAACTCATTGCATAACAGTAGTACGCAATGAAACCCCATTTGATTAAGCTGGCGGCAAACAGCTGTTTTCTGGACTAAATACTTGCGTGGGAAGTTCGTTAAAACACTGTAGTATGGCGTAAATGTTTTTCCCATTTTCTTATGGCCGCAAGTTTACTTTGATTACAGACCACAAACCGCTAGTCTCAATTTTTAATCCAGCAAAGACCTTACCAACAATCTCGGCAACACGGATATTCAACTATGCTCACTTTCTCTCCGGGTTCAACTATGACATAGAGTACAGGCAAACTGCTCATCATAGCAATGCAGATTATCTCTCACGTTTCCCTACCGAAGTTGTACAAGAAAATGCAATAGATGACCTCTCTAAGTACCACATAAACCAACTAGAAACACTTAATGTCAACAGTACCGTGGTGGCTAAGGAAACTATCAACGATTCTGTGTTGGGTCCAGTCCTACAGGCCTTAAAATCAGGACAATCTGTCGAACAATATGGATTTCACGATAACGAACTGTCCATTCAAGATGATTGTGTACTGAAGGGCTGGAGAGTCATGATACCTCAATCCCTCAAACCTCACGTGCTTCGAGAATTACACGTAGCTCATTTAGGAGAAATAAAAATGAAGGTTTTAGCTCGCAGTTTTTGCTGGTGGAAAAGTATAGACAAGGATATTGAACAGATGGTAGCTGAATGTCGACAATGCATTGAACAATGCAACAACCCGAGAAAAACTATCCATCCATGGGAACAACCTACTAATCCATGGGAGAGAGTGCACATCGATTTCTTAGGACCAACAGATGGCCAACAGTACCTCATATTAGTGGATGCTTTTAGTAAGTGGGTGGAGGTGATACAGACAAGAACAACTACAAGTACATGGACAGTCCAAGAATTACGGAAAATCTTTTCAACTTTTGGGTTTCCTCAAATCTTAGTTTCAGATAATGGAAGACAGTTTGTTTCCCAAGAGTTCAAAAACTTCATGAATGAATGTGGGATTGTTCACAGAACAACGGCACCATATCACCCAAACTCAAACGGCCAGGCTGAAAGATACGTGCAGACTGTCAAGAAGGCGTTAAAATCCATGGAGGGAGAAAAGGGTACACTGCCAAATAAAATCCAAAGGCTTGTAATGCAACTCAGGCAATCCCCGAATTCAACTGGTACATCAGCATACCACTTAATGTTTGGAAGGAGTGTACGAACAAACCTCGCAATAATTGTTCCAACATTAGAACCGAACAAATTTCAGAACAAGGGACTCCAAGTCGGTATAAAAAGGAATTTCAAAGTTGGAGATAAGGTTCAAGCGCGGGTATATGTCAATGGATCATCCAAGTGGTACTCGGGCTATATAACTGAAAAGCAAGGACATGTAATGTACGTAGTTCAGCTGGAAGATGGGCGAATAACTAGAAGACATGTTGATCAGCTGATTCTTCGCAGAGTGCCTCAGCACAGTAAATAGAGGAGGAGGTGTTAACATATGTTTTATTTACATTTTATTTCTAACATGTGTTCAAATTATTCTTTTGTTTACTTGTTGAATTGTTTATGTTTACTTACAGATTGTGGTTTAATAAAAACATACTTTATATTTTCGTTTACAAAATGTGAACTTTTATTAGTAAAATTAGTGGAATCAACAGCTGTCATCGTAATTTGGGGACCGAGCAGGTTTTTACAGGCCGGGGCCGCAAAATCAGCTGTCCGCTTACTTAAAACATTAATGCATTTTAAATACACAATCAAAACCCATAGCATTGCAATAGAATTGTGATATTGTCACCGTTGCCTAGCAACTATTTATTTTTATTTTTGCTGATTCCTCAAATTATTTCTTCACATAACCTTAAAGTTGTAGTTGTGTTGACTAAACACATTATTATAGTTATTAGTGCGCATTATTATAGTGGTGAATAGTGGTAATAGGGTATAGTGTGGTGAAAAATAGCGTTCGTACCACGGACCGAAATGGTTTTGCAGCTCTCGATCGATTTAAGTTCTCGACTTCGTCTCGAACTTAAAAACTATCTCGAGCCGGCAAAACCTCATTTTCGGCCCTAGGTACGAAATATACTATTTCAACTACTTGCAACTTGTTTTCAATTCTGCTAGTAAATAAGCAACTATTTAGTACTGTATGTGATTCGATCATTAATTTCGTCTATCACGATTGTGTTACTATACATACCATCGATATGTCGAAGTATTGACAAGAATGCAATAATAAGCTAAAACCTTTCTTTAAAAAACCAATCGATACATAATGTCGATCTTTGCGATTGTTATAATCGAAATCGACAATGTTTACAACAGCTTAATTTTAATGTCGGACTATCCACAAGCTACTGACTTTGTTCAGGATCGAACTGGTAACCCTCTTAGTACTAGATGAGTACAAATTATCATCATATAACTTAGCTATGATACAGCCACTAAAACAATAAGTGCTTCAAAAACCTTCACATTCAAAGTCAATGTTAAACTCACTTATGTTGTTGTACTAGTGTCATAATATTATTTTGTATCAACATTGGATTGATTATAGGATATGATTTCATATCTTATATTGGAACTGTTTACATGTAACATTACAGGGAATAAAGTCAGTTAACTCCTAAATTGTTAAGAATACGCCATAACTAAGAATGTTCTGCAGATTGCAGTAATTTTGCTCCAGATAATCTTGTTGTGGCTTTCATGGCACATTCAGGTCTAATTGGAAACCTGATATGCTTTGCAGTTCTACGGAATTGCTAATTATAATTTAAATTTATCTTATTTCTAATGTAAATACATCTCTATTATTATCTGATGAGACTATAAAGCTATGTTATAAAGAGGTATGTTGATAGTTTAGTATTTGTATGTTGTGATGCCAGTCTGTGACGCTCACAGCTGATTTTATAATTTAATACATACACAACATTTTTGTTAACTTCTTAGTAATGCCCGTTACGGCAAACTAAAGAATGAACATGGTCTTTAAGTACTTAGAAACATAATATTTACATTTAGTTAATATTTATGAATTTTTACACTCTTAACAAATTTTACACAGCACAATGGACATTTTAAAATAAAACAGTCTACTGTATTTTGTATAACCAATCATTTATTATCATTGACTATATATACCTACAGTATAGTATCATAGACTATGTTTTATCTATGATAGTATATATATCTGTAGGTATATATAGTCAATGCTATTATCTAGTGAAAAGCCTACCATTGATTAATAAAAACAATATTATGTCCAAAAATCAATAGTGATAATACTAACAATTTCCAGCTGCAGATTTACAACTAATAATTATACAAGGTGTTTAGTGGTCTTGAAAATACAGGGTGTTACGTCAATAGGCCTACGCGAAAAATTCACAAAAATAGCCGCCATTTTGAAATGAATTGAGCTAATTGAGTTCTGTTTCCACCTAAATGTTGCTCATAACAAGACCTTGTAAAAATGTACAATGAGATAATAGGTTGACATGAGGAAATTTCGAGATATGAACCCGTGACCTTCATTTCTGGAACACCCTGTGCTTGGATAACGTTCTAAGTATTTTAAATGGATTCTTCGTATGTGATTTAGGTAGGAATAATTTTATTTCGCGTTTCTAGATGAAAACGTACTCCGAAAAGTATGTGCACATGTGGTCTGCCTCACTCTGTGTATTTAGTGGTGATACTCCATGAATATAATGTCCACTAGCTAATCATACGACCACTAGTAAATCATGAACAAAGTGAGAACTTAGCTGAGATAATGTAAATGTAAGGTATTCCAGAGTGTTGGGAGGTTGTGTCGGTGTCTATAACTTTGTAAACTTTCCAGACATCCCATGTTGCCTGACATTCACGTAACCTCTCAACAAATCCATCAAGTGTTTAGTTCGCAACATTATTTCACAAACCGCTTGGACTGAGTTTTTGTTTCTTACGGTTCAAAAATCCCGATTTTCCATACTTATTTTAGATATTATTCTTACCTAATATAGCTATCGGCTAGTTTGTAAATAAATAGTATTTTTCACTACTAGTCACGTGACCCATTTCGGGGCGAGGTAGCGTTTTACATGCGAGTCGAAAACGAGCATGGGAAACACTATCGAACCCTTAAAGTGGGACTTTCGTGACGAGTATTGAACGATACTTTTCATCACTATGAAAAAACTACTTCATAAACCTTAAATATACATTTGATATTTCGTAATCTATTCATTTTTCGAATCTAAATACAATACGGCTGTACAATAAATTTTAGTGTAAAATTCAGCTGATTGTAGCTTTGTTGATATCAGGTAAAGTATTGTTTGTTTAGCGAAAAGTAATATTTATGTAGCGAAAGTAATTAGCAAGGAATTACATTCCAAAGTTAAATGCAAGTTTAATGTGAAAGTTTAAAACCTGGGTCGGTTAAATATTTTAAGATAGAGGAATGAATTGGTTATATTCACAGGCAAGGGTGAACAGTAAACTTTCCACCCCCACCTCTCACAGATTGCGAGGCAATTTCACAGAATTAGCACAATTTTCAGAGTTTGTTTTGCATTATTTATGGTTCTTGCCTGTTGTAGCTTTAACTAACAAATCTGCCACTATTGTAAAACAATCTAACCCTCTGCTTTAACCATATTTCAGTAAATATAAGTGATTCCTTGAACCAGATACATTCTTTAATTGTGAAACAATACCAACATTTTACAGAAATGGTTAGTGTAAAATATTTTTACTTCTAAAATTTATAACATTCCTAAAATTTCCTGTACCATAAACAGCAGCGTGTTAAGATCTTATATTCAGGAGGGGTATGGTTCGTCATAAGGTCTTGGTCTACCAATACTTTTTAGAAATTAGAAATTAAGATACTGTTTTTAAAATCTCAGTTTTGATATTTTTAAGGACTGTTGATATAGGTACACTACAACGATCCCGTTGATTTAACAGTTGTATGAAATAAAATACGAGTTATTTTCAAATATAATTTTGAAACTTTTGACTTACAAGTTATACCTTTTTTGCATGTAAGAGGAATACCCCGACGATATTCTGATTACCCAGATATGTATACTTCTTGAAATATTCTATCTTCTGTTCTCAAAAGTTTCTTCTTGTTATATCCTAAGATTTTGGTGGTGATAATAATATAGTGACATAGTAGTTGTGATGAACGGCCGAGGGGTCGAAGATCGAAGGCGCTGTCCCTCCAGCCTAAAACAGCACCGTTGAAGTTGTGTTGTTCCAGTGGGCTGAAATCCTGAGGCTGTTGTACGACTATGCCCTCCCTCTTCAGCCTAGCACTAGCACCGTATAATTAATTGGTTCGCTGAGTAATCAATGGAGGTCGAAGGCATAAACCTGCTTGTGATAATCCAACGAGGTTAAGAAGTTAAGAGTCGTAGTGAGGAATCCACCAATGAGGACTCAAGCTGTGGCACTAATAGACAAGTCTGTTGTTGTCAGCCTATAGTATCTCACAGAAGACAGATATGTTCACTAAAAACCAGTCACAAGTCAGATGGTGAATCAAACTATTAGTTCACAAATTTAATTTTTGTGTTTATAACTACAATTAATTACACACTAAATAGTAATGATTTTGCTTATGGTAGATTTATTTATCGTGATGACATGTATTCACATTTCAAAAACGAAATCTAAATAATCTTATCTTACGCTGTCTGTTTTGTGTGTTTACGCAAGAGGATGGTCGGGTAACTATCAATCTACCTTTATTAACTGACAGTCCATATTCCTTTTTGGCCTTTTTGGTCCACATTCGAACAAAGCAACCTAGACGCTTGAAAGCGAGCACTCAGCACTATTACTGGGCTACCGGAACCCAGACAATTATATTATTTCATACATTCTAAAACTAAGGAAACAACACACTCACTCATGAAAATACATAAATGGTTTGGATGACGTAGTAACCTATAGGCATAGGATAATGGATTAGCTTACAGTGATGGTTATTATAGATAGGCATGCTGCAAGTTTGACGTCAGTGTGATGTGGTCTAATAAATGTCTAACACCCTCTTTACTGTTCACGCTTCCAAGATCGTAAACCTTAACCACACTCTTCGCAACACTTTTAGCCCAGATTAGATTGAACGTAAATTTTTGTGTGTAATACAATCGTATACAAGTTCTTATAAAAAATCTTTTATTCTAAATGTTTTTAGCAATATTAATTGTAATCATTTTTTTCTTGTTATGGTTAATTAAGTATATAGTACACGAAATTGTAAGGTTTCCGGTTCGACCATGAGAAAGAAAATGGGACCAAGAAGTTGGGTTTAGATGGCTCAAAACTTAACCCAGGTGTTCTTGATCGTGAGTTGTTATTGGATAACAATCCTGGCTAAAGAATTTGGTCAGTAATAAAGCATCACATATCACCCCTCTCTATTCTACATTAATTTTCACTGTCGGATCATGGTCCATGGACTTCTGCTTTCGGAAAATTAGTGGGAAATGCACACTTAATTAGTTTAATGTGGGATAAACAGTTGACTTTATATCAGAGCATTTTTCAATACGGTTTGAGTTTCAGTTTCATTGTCAAAAAACCTTTGTACCATCATTAACAGGAAGAATGTAATTTATTCCAAACATTCATAATTCTTAGTTTTCAATCATTGATACAGAACCAAAACTAAAATACTTGTTCATCTTACTTAGGCGAATTTCCCACATAGGAAATAAGCTATTGCCATCATTTAATCTGTGCTGTTACCGTATATCCTAATCCTTTCCTTATGATACGACTAACGTTTGCGACCACAATGCACAATCATATCCAACAAATCCCTCTAAATTGTTAGAAACATCATTAAATTACATTATTATATTTTTCTTGGAACTGGGAATATCTCAGAATCTTAGTTTTGAGATAAAAACAATATTTATGCTGGGCTCTGCCCTTGGAAAATTCGTTAACCATGCCGTGATGTTTTTAGATTGTGTTAAAAAACCTACACTCAATTTCGCAGATAATTAAATATCAGCTTCGAACCAGATCCAACTATGGGAACGAACGGGATTTTACTAGGGGGTTTATGAGGTAAAAATTTGGTTTTCCTACAGTCACCCGACAAAGTTGGCTTCCCTGTACTGTTTATAGTACAGAAAGCTGCTAATTGCTGCATATTTATACTTTGCCGTACGGTTTATACTTTGCCGCACGGTTTATACTTTGCCGCACATCAGGATTCCAACCAAACAACACAAAACAGCGTGGTTTTATTATGCACGTAATCCGTGTACGCTTGGAAATAGGTTGGCAACACTTAAAGATAATAATACTATGAACAGCTGATTGACTATTATAACTACGATTTAACCTGTCATTTCGTGTTTATAGTTTTGGTATTTCTGAACTTTCTGGACTTTTCTTTTAAACGTTTTTAAAACATTCCTACGGTCTTAACAAACAAGAAAATACCTTTAAAGCATTTTTTTTAGGCGCGGAAACCACTTCAAATTACAAAAACATACGGAACTATATTCTCAAAAGACGGAGCACATTTCTTGCCGAGGAAAAATAGCGGAGTGATACGGACCACGGGTACTACTTTCTCCAGGGCACCATTTGTGTAATTGTGTTGCTAGCTGAACCTAAAAACGTGTTGTATAGTGTTTGAAAGACTAATTGAGCGGAGCGAGCGAAGCGAGCGAAGCTCTTATACTACACTCCTGCTTTTTTATTACAAATACTCCTCCTGAACGGCTGAAGCGATCTGCATGAAATTTAACACAGTCATAGTAACCAACCATGGGAAGGTATAAATCTGAAACGGTACAAATCGGACCATAGGACTTTTCCCTACATGAATGCAAACTTTTGGAAATTTAACATGGGCCTTATGGGTTAATTGGTCGCCATGTCATTATTTGCGAGTAAACACTAAAAAGTAAACAAGAGCCTCAACATTAGTCAACAAATCTACCACATGATAAATACAGTACAAAAGAAAAAATTGGATAATACTAAAGAGCATATTATAGTATATTGTATGTAATACGAAATGATTAACAATCAGTTCTATATTGAGTGATTAAACTCCATGCCGTTTATATTTAATTGTAAAATGGTTCTGTTCTTTTTAACAACAATGAATAGTTAACTAATTAGGCCTAAGTTTATGTTGCTTGGAGAAGGAGAAGATAAAACGAGGTCATTAAAAAAACACTACAACATAATTATACCAACAAAAATCACACCGCCCTTGATTTGCAAGAAACTTTGTAAAAAATGTTCTTGTAGCTAAAAATACAAAATCGTTTTACGAAATGAAATCACAACCACGTGGTTTACAGGCAAGGTTTAAGACTAAATGGTGTAACTTAGACAATAAAATAGTTGTATTGATAAATTTTATTGCACAATAGGGAAATTTTGAAAGTGGTTGACGACAATTTCTTACTTTTAACTGCTAAAATAAAACTAGACCTAAGTTATAGGCCTATACTAAGTGAAGCTAACCCCAATCCCTCACAACAATAATACTGGTAAACAGTTATTGAGGTAATTGAATTGGTGAGTTTTATGAATGTTCAATGCAAATAAGTCTTCTGTACAAATAAATGATTCTTTTTTTAATAATGAAGAAAGAAGACATTGAAAAAAATAAAGAAAAGCAAATTCTACATACAATGGGTAATAATAATATAATAATAATCGTTATTGCCTTTTAATAATACAGGTATTGCTTAGGCCTACCATGATTCATTTGCAGTATCGAAATTATTGAGCGGAGTGAAGCGAAGCTCTTATACTACACTCACTGCCTTTGTTTTACAAATACAGGTCAGGCTCCACCTGACAGGCTTAAGCGATCTGCAGGAAATTTGGCACAGTCATGTAACCAACCATATGGGAAGGTATAAATCTGAAATGGTAATATTCGGACCACAGGACTTAAACCAATAATAAGGGTTGCCGGAATTAGGCTGATGCACCATATTGCGTTTGGAATCTGTAAATAACTTACAGCATTTTATGTGAGCAAGACGTGCAATTAATGTAGACTTTGAATATCTATCTGATTGGAACATGTTCAATTCCTATTTGCAGTCTACAAATAGGAATTCCACTAATGTGAACCAAATATAACACAATTCGTTGACTTGAACCCGACGTATCATTGACTTTGAATACTGCACATAGACATCCCATATAAGTGAAGCAGAAGTAGGCCTAAGCCTACCATTGACTTCGGATACTGCAATTAGGCATTTTATATGTGAACAAAATAAATGGACCATTGATTTATTGAGGATACTGCAAGTAGACTATTCATTTACATGTACCATTGGGTTTGGATACTACAAGTAAACAATCCGTCTACGTGAACCATACGTACTATTGACTTTAGAATCTGTAAATAGGCATTCCATTTATGCGAACCAAATATATCATTGGCATTGGATACTGCAAGTAGACATTTAATTTATGAGAACCAGATGAAACATAGAATACGGTTCCTGCAAGTAGACGATTCATTCACTTAATCCTGACTTATGATTGACTTTGGATACCTCTGCAAATAGGCATTCTATTTAAAATGCAAAAAAAATCATTGATATTGAATATGCTGGCTCCGCTCAATATTGCAAGCAGACAACTGCATTGTACACCTAGTTATTTATGTTTTATAGTGACTGTAGGAAAAATATAATGTGTAACACGAGTGAAAAAGGCCTTTGCTGCACTCGTAAACATTGCTCTCGTGTGCAGCAAAGTGCCACTTTCACCACTAGTTACACAAATAACTATTTCCGTTTGTAACCCCAAAACAAAACAAAATTTAATTTAATTTACATTTTTAGTTTAATTTTTTTTATTTTGTAACTTCTTCTTCTTCTTACCCAATTAATTTAAAACAAATTCCAAATATTTTAGTTTTTCTGAAATTTGTATTTAGCTGATTATATTGTTTTAGCTCCCGCCAGGTACGCCTCGGCTGACTAATTACGTCATCCATCTTAATTGCGACTGACGTCAAAGTAAGGAGCTGTCAATCAGGCTACGTATCCTAATGAATTATTCTGGATTACTACGAGACAAGTAACTACAAAACACATCAATCTAAGTTAGCTTGTGGTTGACCCCTACCTATTTTCTTATCATGAGTACTCTGATGATCTAAATTTCTAAGGTATACGACCCGTCGTGGCTTTGCTCACCAAAGTTTATATAACAAAGTAATATGTTTATGGGTATACAAAATACTTTTAAAACACATTACATAGTTCAAAGATAAAATGTATCTTTTATTAAATCAATTCCCATAACCACAAATTTAGTTGTGGAGTCAAACATTATATAGTCAAAACCACTGAGCTATAATTCTTATAATTTTAACTCAGTGGTCAAAACAATAACATACCTTTCTTGCCGGAACTGGACTGGAGGGGAGGGGGTAGTTGGTGTCGATTCGATGCGTGTTTAGGTTTATGCAACTAACCTCAAAACAAAACAAAAACATACATGAGACACAACCACGTACGTAATACAAATACAGAAGACAAAGTTTGTTTACTGTTTTACTAAAGTGACTAAAGTGAGTGCTCGCTCTGCTCAGTGCTGCTAGGCTTAGGCTACTCTACGTTGAGATATTGATAATTTATCTTCGATATTTACTCATTTTAATAGTTTGTGAAATATTTGTCATTTTGTTTTTGATATGACGACAAACATTGAAAATTTAAATCCAAAGCTGTATAAAAAATGTGACGATAGAGAACTATCACAGTTTGATGAAGATGAAGATATTGTGGATGAATTTGATTCCAGAGAAGTTTTTGGTATCCTTTTTAAAACTCGAAGCTTTCCAGTTGTAAAACAAGCAAATACATCATTTTAGGTAATTAGGTTTGATTGCTTAGACTAGGCTACATACCAACTACCAAGCAGCTTGCACTGTGATGGCCAAAATGTAGGCTAAATGTTTTATAGTTATGTCGTTGTAGATAGCCTTTAAGTTAAAAAAAATGGGGTACAGTTTCTGAACTGGGCTACACTTATATCGATAATATAAGTTTGGTTGGTTAGGTTAGGTTGTTATAGCCTACTTAGTTTCATTTTATAGGCCTAATTGATTTAAGTTAGTTAAAAATGGTGTGAGGCTGGCAATAACTCAGCAATAAGTAGTGTGCGTGCCTGATAAAATCTATTGCTCGGCGTTTTGCGGATAAATACGGCCAAGTACCTATATACCAATAATGTCAACAGATAGAGGACACTTTAAGGGACACGACAGTATCAAGGTTAACTTAACTATATATCTGGCAAAAAAGTTAGTGAAAAAAAGGGGGGGGGAAGTTAAAGTCAGCAATAAGGAGTGCGCGCATCTGATAAAATCTACTGCTCAGCGTTTTGCGGAAAAATTCGGCCGAGTACCTGTGCCAATAATGTCAACAGATAACTTAAGTTAAGAGGATTTTTTAACGGACACGACAGTAACAGGGTTATATACTTGGCAAAAAAGTTAGTGAAGAAATGGGGGTTTTACATTATGTCAGCGCGCGCTGATAAAATCTATTGCTGGGTGTTTGCGGAAAAATACAGCTGAGTACCTATATTAAGCCCAACTCTTCTTTTGGTAACTGTAGGCCCTACTAAGTTACATTATTGCAAAAAGTCACTTACTTAGGCCTACTTTAACCCTCCGAGCATCACGTGTCGAAAAATCGACTCACGACACACTTTGTGTAGTGTCACTTGTCGATTTTTCGACACACGAACATCGTTTACGGTGAAGGCTCTATGACTGACTGAATTGGATTGAACTGGATCGAGTTAGGTATCGTTCTATTTGTTAGATTCAGAGCTTTCTCCGGAGGTCTGTCTCTAAGCGCTATTCATTTTAGTTCCGAAAATATTGTAGCAGACAGCTGACGTGCGTATTTGTAAACAGCTTTGTTAACCTCGGACCGATGACTGATGTGTTTTATTACGTTTATCATTGTTTTAGTGTTAAAAATCAAAAGTAGTGATTTTCGTGGTGCATTATAAGAAGATTTAAGTGATTTTGAAGGGCTGGTTGATGACCCTGAAGAAGTAGGTAGTGATATTGATGTAAATTAATTTATCAGCCAGATTCCTAGCTATGGTTAGGCTATGCATTCTTAGCTAAACGCTATGTACTGAAATCTGTTTTTTGCCCATAACTTATTTATTTGCAAATCTACTTCCTTAGGTCTATATTATTATATATTTGTAATCCTCATAAAATTTAGAACAAAGTGGCGATTTTCAAATATTTATAGGCCTATAATTTATACAATTTCATTGAGCGCGAACTTATTATTATTTTTTTTAATTTTTCAAAATATTTTTTTTACCTAAAAATTTTTTTTGAAACAAATGTTTCTTATGTTTTATGTATAATATTGAAGCCCATGATTTTCCAAACAAACTGGTATATAGAACAGTAGAATTAACATTTTTTTAAGCTTCTCAGATCTGTTTTAATAAAACCTTGCAAATGCGCCAAAAATAGGCGGACATTAAGGCCTAAACTATGGACACTCGGAGGGTTAAGCAATCTGGAAACTTCACTGGACGTTAGGTAACTTAGTTCCCTCACACACACGCGTACGTATCCAGTGTCACTAGCATAGAGGATTATGACCGACCCTAGGCCGGCCGTATTTTCGCTTCATTGGTTCTTTTAGATAAACTACTTGTAATCATACTGTAACTTTTTAAAGTTGTAATTGTAATCAAAACTGTTAATATATTTAAATCCTACTGAAATTACAACAAAAATGATATCAAACAACCTATCATTTACTTTTTAAAGTAAGTTATAGCTTCACAAAACATCTGCAGTATATTGCAGGTTGCCGACTTCTAATAGAATTTGTATAAACAATGTGAGTCATAAGCTGGGGCTTTTTACGGTGCAATATGCTAGTCAATTTAACTAGGTGGCGTTTGCAGAGGCATCCACAAAATTGAGCGGAGTCATCAAGGGTTCATATTATATTGTTTTTGTCATACTGCAGTAAAAACAGTAGTTTTTAATGCATGCGTTGCCAGTCTAAAGTAGCATTTTTATTCTCTAGGGAGTAAAAATCGTTTTTAGCCTCTATAGAGTAAAAATCAGTTGTTGTCAACTCAGTTGTAAATTTCGATTGTAAACGATTGCATGTATCTAAAATATGTATCGATTCGAGCTTCGTAATCATTTTAACCTACAGTCTACAGTCTCTTCCCATAGCATTTTGTATTGCAGATACCGTACATTAATAAATTCCCACACTCAACATTGCTCACCTTTACTACTTCCTTCACCACCCCCTACGTCTTGGACATGTTTCCCTCTCTTCCCATTGCATTTTAGGATTGCAGATACATCAATGTAATTGCCAAAAACAGTTCCCACACTCTGCACTGCTAGCCTTACTAATTGTTTCACCATTTCCTACGTCATAGACCTGTTTCCTTCCCTTCTCATAACATTAAGAATACAGATACATTTATCTAACTGCCCACACGGATCCCCCACTCTGCACTGCCAGCCTTTAATACTTCCTTCACCACGTCCTCCGTCGTGGGGCCTATTTCCTTGTCTTCTCATAGCATTTTAGTATTGAAGATACATTAATCTAACTGCCACAGACGATTCTCACACTATGCTCATACTTTACTATTTCCAAAGCCACTTCCTACGTCGTGGACCTGTTTTCATCACTTTCCATATCATTTTAGTATTTTAGATACGTTAATCTAATTGCCACAGACGATTCTCACACTATGCACATACTTTACTATTTCCAAAGCCACTTCCTACGTCGTGGACCTGTTTTCATCACTTTCTATATCATTTTAGTATTTTAGATACGTTAATCTAATTGCCACAGACGATTCTCACACTATGCACATACTTTACTATTTCCTAAGCCACTTCCTACGTCGTGGACCTGTTTTCATCACTTTCCATATCATTTTAGTACTTAAGATACGTTAATCTAATTGCCACAAACATTCCCCACACTCTGCACTGCTAGCCTTAACTACTTCTTTCACCATTTCCTATGTCGTGGGCATGCTTCCATCCCTTCTCATGGCATTTTAGCTTTGCAGATACATTAATCTAAATGCTACAAACGGTTTCCAGTTCCCCATCTCCACACTGCTCACCTTACTACTTCCTTCACCTCTTCCTACGTCGCGGACCTGTTTCCCTCTATTCCCATAGCAATTTAAGTGAGTATATACCTTAATCTAATCGTCATAAACATTTCCCACACTCGGACAGCTCGCCTCGACTAATTCCTTCACCACTTCCTACGTCTCGGACCTGTTTTCCTCCCTTCCCATAACATTTTAGGATTGCAGATCTCTTAATATACCCGTCATAAACAGTTCCCACACTCCGGACTGCTTGCCTTTACTACTTCCTTCACCACTTCCTACGTCACGGACCTGTTTCCCTCCCTTCCCATAGAATTTTAGGATTGCAGATACCTTAATCTAATCGTCATAAGAAGTTACCATACTCCGACTGCTCGCATTTACTACTTTCTTCACTACCTCCTACGTCACGGACCTGTTTCCCTCCCTTTCCATAGCATTTTAGGATTGCAGATGCCTTGATCTAATCGTCATTTAAACAGTTCCCACACTCCGGACAGCTCACCTTGACTAATTCCTTTACGACTTCCTACATCGCGGACCTGTTTTCCTCCCTTTCCATGACATTTTAGGATTGTATATACCTTAATCTAATCGTTATAAACAGTTTCCACACTCCGGACAGCTCGCCTTGACTACTTCCTTCACCACTTCCTACGTCGCGGACCTGTTTCCCTCCCTTCCCATAGCATTTTAGGATTACAGATACCTTAATATAATCGTCATAAAAAAGTTCCCATACTCCGGACTGCTCGCCTTTACTACTTCCTTCACTACCTCCTACTACGTCACGGACCTGTTTCCCTCCCTTTCCATAGCATTTTAGGATTGCAAATTCCTTGATCTATTCGTCATAAACAGTTCCCACACTCCGGACAGCTCGCTTTGACTAATTCCTTTACGACTTCCTACATCGCGGACCTGTTTTCCTCCCTTTCCATAGCATTTTAGGATTGGAGATACCTTAATCTAATCGTCATAAACAGTTCCCACACTCCGGACAGCTCGCCTTGACTACTTCCTTCACCACTTCCTACGTCGTGGACCTGTTTTCCTCCCTTTCCATAGCATTTTAGGATTGCAGATGCCTCAATTTAATCGTCATAAACAGTTTCCACACTCCGGAAAGCTCGCCTTGACTACTTCCTTCACCAGTTCCTCCGTCGTGGACCTATTTCCCTCCCTTCCCATAGCATTTTAGGATTGCAGATACCTTAATCTAATCGTCATAAAAAGTTCCCATACTTCGGACTGCTCGCCTTTACTACTTCCTTCACTACCTCCTACGTCACGGACCTGTTTCCCTCCCTTTCCATAGCATTTTAGGATTGCAGATGCCTTGATCTATTCGTCATAAACAGTTCCCACACTTCTGACACCTCGCCTTGACTAATTCCTTTACGACTTCCTACATCGCGGACCTGTTTTCCTCCCTTTCCATAGCATTTTAGGATTGGAGATACCTTAATCTAATCGTCATAAACAGTTCCCACACTCCGGACAGCTCGCCTTGACTACTTCCTTCACCACTTCCTACGTCGTGGACCTGTTTTCATCCCTTCCCATAGCATTTTAGGATTGCAGATGCCTCAATTTAATCGTCATAAACAGTTTCCACACTCCGGAAAGCTCGCCTTGACTACTTCCTTCACCAGTTCCACCG